AAAATCTTTACTTTAAACTTTGCATCATATAAACCAAATCAATGAGAAGCTAGCCTAAGAACTGCCTTAATGGTTTGCAATCAACTACAACCATATATTTACAAAATTAATATCTTTCAAGGAACAGCTATATGTCTTGATTTCTTTTTTTCTAATAACAACAAATCCTGTATCATCTCAACCTACCTTCCTTCAAATCATCCTTCCCTTCTAAAAAAGACCCAATCTCAATTACTTAACTGGATCACAGAAGCTAGAGCTAGAAACTGGCATCTAATTATACTGAGTAATTTTAATGCTAACCAATTTAGAGACAAGCACTTTCTGATATTTACAAATTTAAATGCTGCCAACCTGACAAGTTTATTAGCCTTCCATAACATCCAAACACCAACATGGCATGGCCTGACTTCTGCCAGCCAAATCGATGATTTCTGGATCTCATCAGATATACTATTAGCTTTCGAACCTTCATCTCTAACTGATGCTTCTTACATTTCAGGCAATGATCATTGCATCCTAAGTACAACCTGGCATACAAACTTTTCGCCTCAAAAAAATCCCAAAAACAAAAAGAAAAAGAGGAAAATATACCTGTTTGAGAAAATGACATCAGAGGACTAGAAAAACTTTGAAAACTCACTAAACGTTTGCTTCAACCCACAAAATATTTCAATATCAAACATAAACAAAAACAATATAAACAAAATATAGAATTTCTGGACAGCAAAAATTAAAGAAAAAATGAATAAACATATTCCATATACTCTTACTACTCCCAAACCCTTCTTCACACTCTCACTAAAAGCAACCAAATTGCATTCTGCATTTAAAAACATTAACAAATGTTTACACTACCTCTCTAACAATACTTTAAATGACTTAACTAAAATAAATCTTCACTTATCAAAGGCAGCAACACTTGCAGAAATAGATATTTCATTAGTTATACAAGAACAATTAAATCCTCCTCTACCTGATCTAATAACACAGATAAAGCAATACAAATATACAATATGGCAAGCATGAAACTTTGAAAAAAAACAAGAACAAAGTGAAAGAATCAAGTTCTATATAAATCGAAGATATTCAGACTTTAAAGACAACACTAGTCGTATGCTAGATAGTATTCTCAAAAGAAGAGCAGAACCAGTAAACTTTGAAAAAATTATATTTCCAAACAAGATTATTACTGAGAAGAATAAAATCAAAGAAGCCACATGCCTACACTACAAGAACTGGACTAAAGAAAACCTACTGAACAATACTACTTGGAAAGAATAGGAATCAACATATAATCCACTCAACAACATTAAAGGCAATATCTATGACAACTTTCTGTTCCCGATTTCTCTATTGGAGCTAGAACAAACTATAAAAGAAGCCTCTAAAGAAAAAGCAACAGGACCATTAGGAATCGCAAATGAAGTTCTTCAACACTTACCATCATTAGTTCTTCTACTATTACTAGAAATATTCAATGAATGTTTAATACAAGAATGCACTCCAAAACAGTAGCTACAAGCCAACATTTGGCTAATTCCAAAAAAACAACATTACAACTACAAACTCAACTCTACACAACCAATAACATTAATTGATCATATTAGAAAAATCTTTACAAAAATTCTAACAACTAGACTAACAAATATTCTAGTTCGAAACTAAGTACTTTCTTTACACAATTTTGCAGCTTTTCCTCACCAATCTACACTACAACCAATCTTGCAACTCACCCAAATTCTGAAAGATGCAATTACAAATAAAAAAGAAATTTAGATTCTCTTACAGGATATGTCAAAAGCATTTAACTCAATTCATATACCTACTCTATGCAAAGCACTCAAAAGAATCCATATACCAGACAAAGCTATAAACCTGATATCATTCCTACTCTCACATCGAACCAACAAAGTAATTACAAGTTTAGACTTAACTGCACTATACTCTGTTGAGAATGGTATTGATCAAGGAGAAACCTTCTCACCTCTTCTTTGAAAAATATATTACAATTCATTAATCTCAAGAATACACAAAGAACATTTAGGATTTTCTAGTGAAATTCCTAGCACAAATCTCAAAAAAATAAATACTTTAGTAATGGCTTACATGGATGACTTGCTTTGGATTGCATCTAACAAAATATCTCTTACAAACATCTTGAACATAGCCTCTTCTTTTTACAAATTTGCTAATATAAAGGTGAACCCTTCAAAATCGATATTGGTTACAAACTCAACAGATCTGAACAACTCTATACTCTTTAACAGAGAACAATTAATTGCAATTAATAATGAAAAACCATTCAAATACTTGGGGGCATAGTTCTCAACCAACAAAAGACCAATACTAGTACAAAAAGAGATAATGGCTAAAGTAACAATTAATCTAAAAAAGTTACACTTTGCTAATATAACAGAAAAACAAATGATTTATATCATAAATAGTGTTATTATCCTATGATTCTTGTATCGACTATACTCTTCATTTCTTACCTCAGCCCAAGCAAACACTCTTAACAAGATGTGTACTCAATTAGTTAAACAAAAAGCAAAACTAGCTCAGGGAGTTCCTAACTCCTTTTTACATAACTCAGATATTTATGCATTAACAAATATAGCTCAAACACATCTTTCAGCATTAGTTACAACACTTCAAAAAAATTTAAACCATTCAGATTTTGACTTCTTCTTCTTGAAATTACGGTTGCAACAATTACAAGATGCTGCATTCACCAATACATCGATTCTAGCACAACCTCCAACCTTTCCAACAGCTCAAACAAATACACAAACCGGCCAAATGATATTAGCACTACATGCATTGGGCATGCAAACTTCAAGAGATATGAACGATTGGCCCTGTCCAAAAAAATTCACAAACACTCCTATAAATCAAATACTAATGCAACACCCTAGAGCCTCCTACCTTAAAGAAAAACTAAATAGACATAACATTTATTGCATTGAGCAATTCCTAAATACCACCAACACAGAACTTTTGACATAGAACCAATTTCATCATAATATCAAAAAAATACCAAGAGACCAGTGCCCACAGTGGTTTTACATAATACAAGACTTAATAGTCACATCTACTAATCCATCTTTAACATACTCACAATGCAACTCATATATCTTGGCTAATTGGACTCCTATTAAAAAAGGATGGATAATCACAAATAACTTAACTTTCAGAAGAATTTATAATCCATTTAATAAGAACCTTAAAACTTGACACTATATACTACTACCTAACAACACACTAGTAGTCTGTAAAGGATGCAAACTGAGCAATACATCTTATCATACCAAACATTGCTACTTCAATACAACAAAACCTATATATAACCTCCAAGTAGACTGCAAAAAAAGAATTCATATTAATTTGAAAGACTTTAAAAAAGCCACAACATTAACTCTGTCAACAATATCAAGAACTCATAACCAGACAATACACTCAACATTGGCCTACCCTCTATGTTCTTTTATTAATCCACCAATGACACTTTGGAATGACCTCGTAAAAGCAAACTTTAACACAAAAATTACAACAATTTATTTAATAAGTGGATGGCAAAATATTGGAAATACTTCTCGAATAATTGCAAAGTCTCACTTTCAACACTCCTATCTAACCTTTGAATGCTTCAACAACTCCTGGCCATCTTATCTAAACATACTAATAACTACACTAAACTTCATACTTACTTCATTAAACCCCTGTACTTCGATAAATATACATACTAATAACTCCACTTTAGTTAATCTTGTTAACTTTACAAATTCAATCCAATCACACGATTACCCAACATTAGACAAACAACAATACACATTTCTTCTTCTAACTTTAAAAACCTTGGCATATGATCACACACTTACAATGATCTTTGATAAAGATCTTCAGATTCAAGAAACTTCTAGCATTATTTTTCCACTAGACTCCATATCTCAAAAGTTTTTATATAATCAGTTTGTTCCAAAACTTCTGGAAAACCCTTGCACTTACTTGGTGAAAACTATATTAAAACAAATACATCAAATTACAAACTGTTTAATATGGTTCAACCAACAACGAATCTCACTATAGCATATACCACAAAATAATATCAACTGATCATTAACTCTACAATATATATCATACAGAGAAAAACCTTTAACTCTAACAACTGACCCAACTTCATCAGCATTTAAAAACTTCAAGATCAAACTAATATCAGAAGAATTACCTACTCATCTCCTTCGTCATTGGAGAAATGCTACAAAACATCCAAACCATTTCTGTGCAAGATGTTATAATATATCAGAAACTATTATACACCTTCTAACATGTATTAGAAATAATCCAGATATTGAAACACTGATAAAATATACATTAATCAAAACTGCGAATAAGCTAGAACTACACTATAAGAATACAAGAAAATTTATTCAAACCTTCATTCACAATCATATCAAAAAAAAAATGTCACTGGGAATAATAACAAACAACACTTTAACACCATTTGAAAACAACAAGCACAAACATAAATATGCACCTCTTGTCCATCACAACATCATCTTAGTGATATACAAAAAAATATGACTCACTTCTAGAGTGATACAACACGAATCAACTATTCCAACTCCACCTCCAATACAACCACCAACTCTTACCAAAACTACATCAATCTCAGATTCTATATTAAATAAAAAGATACAACTCTATATCATGTATGGACAATCCTCACTTCACCAACTTATCAAAGACTAGAGGTTTACTGACCATTCTAGCAAAGAATAGGTCAAGAGTAAAGTAGCTCTTACCTCCATCTCCCCTAGTATAGTTTTTTCATCATGTATCTTACATATATGTATAATTAACTAATTAATAAAAGAGATAGAGGATAGACCTCTCTTTAAAAAAAAAAAAAAAATAATATTTTTATTATAAATTAATATTAATGCATATAATTTTATTTAACTTACTAAACTATCAATATCTATTTCAAGAATTTCAAGGTCTGATGAAGATTCACTCAAAGCAGCTGTTAAATCAATAAAATTATTGCATAACGATGTATTTGAAAAACATGATTCTGATTTTATTAATGATGCTGTTGGAAAATCCAAAGACTCTAACGTTGCAGAAATATTTGAGGATTCTGATAATCAAGATTCAAATCTATTTAACGACATTTTAGAAAGATAAAGGTAACAAATTAAACAGAAAAAATTAAATAACAAATATATATTTATTTAATCAGTATTTAATCAATTTAATTGATAAATCCGATTATTAATAAGCAATTTAACGAACGTCACTTTGTTAAACATTGATATAGAATATAAAAGTTAAATTAATATATTTCGAACCAAACTAATACTTTTTATTAATAATAAATAATTTATTAAATATTACATTAAATTATTACTATATAAATAACAGTTTTGTTTTATTTTAAATAAAAATATTAAGCTGAATATTTAGTACTTAATACATAGTGCGATTCTGTAATTTTTTTTTGTATTTCAGTGTAATTATATAATAATTTGGTACTTTACATAGATATTTTAGGTACTTCGCAGTATAATTAAATAATATTTGGGTACTTTACAGTAAATTATATAGATATTTTAGGTACTTCGCAGTATAATTAAATAATATTTGGGTATTTCGCAGTATATTTATATAGATATTAGTACTTTACAGTACCATT